CTCTGGCCACCATATCACTTCCTTTCTCAAGCTAGTGATTGGATTAAAGGTGTGTGATTCCCAAGTACTAGGATTAAAGGTGTGTGCCACCACAGCCTGGCTCTGTTTCTCTCCTAGACTGAGTCAATCTCACCATGTAGTCCAGGGTGGCTTTGAACTCACAGAGATCCAGACAGATCTCTGCCTCCTGAGTGCTAGGATTAAAGGTATGCCAACACTGTCTGGCATCTGTGTTTATTCTAGTGGCTTGTTCTGTCCTCTGATATTCAGGCAAAGTTTATTAGGGTACACAATGTATCACCACATTTCCTTCTTGGGTCTCTGAAGGAGTTGAAGATTAGATAGCTATAGATTTCCTTGTTAACAAATTCAGAAAAGAAACTCACTAAAGAGGTATAAAATGTGTAAGTTTGAAAGACATCAGTCTAGGAGAGAAACATAGCCAGGCAGTGGTAGTATACACCTTTAATCCTAGTACTTGGGAATCACATGCTTTTAATCCCAGCATTAGAGAGGCTGAGAAAGGAAGTGATATGGTGGGCGGAGAAAGGTATATAAAGCATGAGGAAACAGAAACCAAAGCTTTTTTGGCTAAGGAAACTCATTCAGCTAGAGGCCTATCGGCTGAGGCTTTTTCAAGCTGGGGAGTCCTAGAGGTAAGAGGTGTCTGTGGCTTGTTCCTTTGTCTCTCTGATCTTTCAGCATTTGCCCCAATATTCTGGCTCTGGATTTTTTTTTTTTAATTATAAAACTAGCAATTCATGTTACACCTGTCCAAATGCTCCACAGAAATCACTTTTTTTCACTTAAAATATATCTTGAACAATTTTTATTTCCAACCAAGATGCAGTAACAGAAACCAATTTCTCTTTCATCAAAATAATCAGTAAGATAAATCAGACAAAATTACATGAAGCAAGTTTCCCAAAACTATACACAAGCAACTAAGGATAGAGATCCTCAAGACACCAGACACACAGAAGGCCAGCCTGCCACGCCCCATCTCACAATCTTGAAAAGCTTCCAGACCACAGGACAAGGTACCTGAGATAGAAAATAGTGCTTGACCTGAAGACACTGCCCTGAAATTCTGAGAAAACCTAAGCGGCCATAGTTCCTGGCACAGAGTAGCAGAGAAGAGGAGAAGAGCACAAGACACCACCCTGGAGAAGGACACAAGGTCCCCCTCAAGCACTCAGCACAGCAGAACCTGCATGAGTTGATGAAAGTAATGGGCCTAAGACAGACCCACAGCAAGGATTGGAGGGAGCAGTACTGGACACTCACACAAGGCTGGGAAATGACTAAGACCAGCAGGTAGAATGGAAAAATGTCCTAATTAGAGTCTCCTGGGTGGGATACATGGGAAAGTCTTGCCTCAGTACTAATAGTTTGTCCTACCCTGAGCACTATTCCAAACCAGCTTAACCACAAAAACAAGGCCTAATGGTGTTAATGTTTCCAAATAACTGAACTATATCCTAGGGGGAAAACATTTAAGAAGACTGTAAGCTTATAAAAATGTTCTATATCCACATAATCAATCAACAAATGTAATACACTATATAAATAAACATAAGAAGCCATCTATCATCTTGATAGATTCAGAAAGGGCACTAGACTAAGTTCATAGTTTCTTCATGACAAAAGTGCTAGAGAAATTAGGAATAGATGGATTATACCTCAAAATAATAAGTAACAAACCTATAACCAACATTATAAACTAAATGGGAAAAAGAGTATTTCTTCTAAAAGTAAGATGAGACAAGAGTAGCCACTCTTTCCATCTTATTTAATATGGTGCTTGAAGTCTGAAGTAGAGCAATAAGAAAATAAAGCAAAATAAATTATCTCTACCCATAGGCTGGCATGATTCTATAAAGACTCAATAGACTCTATCAGAATACTCTCAGATCAAATAAAGGCTTTCAGTAAAGTTGTAGGATACAAAATCATCATTCAAAAATTAACAGCTTTCATATATACTAATAATGAGCTTGCTGAGAAATAAATAAAATATTCTAGTCATGAATTCTTTGAAAGAAGGAAAGAAAAAAAGAACCAGCCAATCTAGAAACAAACCTTACTGAGAGATCTTTCTGTAAAATGAAAATTTTAGATACTAAAAAATAAATCAAAGATGATATTAAATAATGGAAAGACCTACAACCATGGACTGGATAAAATAATACTGTAAAAATGGCTATTACCAAAATTTTTTCTATAGATTTAATGCAACCTCCTTCAAGATTCCATGGCAATCTTCATAGAAGTAGAAGAAATAACCCCAAAATTCACATGGAAATGCATAAGATCACAAATAATTAAAGCAATTCTAAGCAACAATCCTACTGAAAGTATCAAATATCTGACTTTATTCTACAGACACAGTGACAAAGACAGTGTGACCCCAGCACGAAAACAGACACAGTGACAAAGACAGTGTGACGCCAGCACGAAAACAGACACGTAGACCAATGGAACAGGTGGAGGGCCAGAGATCAACCCACACTGCTAGGACTACTTAATTTTTCACAAAGGTTTCAAAAACATAACTGGAAATAAAGATAGCGAATTCAACAAATCCTGCATAATAATAATTTCAAACTCCGTCATAGGTCTTAATTGAAAACCTGAAATATTGAAATGGTTACAAGAAATCAAAGGGAATATACCTCAAGGCATAGGTATAGACAGAAACTTTTGAACAAGACTTCATCAGCACAGGAAGTAGCCACAGAAATTAATAAATGGGATTACATAAGATTAAAATGTTTCTGCACAGCAAAGAAACTATTAACAGAGTTAAACAGCAGGCTACAGAATGAGACAAAATCTTTACCAACTACATTTCAGTCAAGAGGATACTAACTATACAAAAAAAAAACCCCTACAAAAATTAAAACACACATACATAGACATCACATCACATCCTTAGCAATCAGAAAAAGCAAATTAAAACTACTTTGAGATTCAGTGTCATCCCAGTCAGAATAGCTATCCATAAGAAATGAGAAGACAACAAATACTGATGAGCCCTTATTCACTACTGGTGGAAATTTAAACTAGTTATAGCCATGTAGAGATCAATATGAAGGTTCCTCAAAAACTTAAAATGAACTACCATATTATCCAGCTATACCATTTCTGGACATTCTATATCCAAAGAATTCTATATCCTACCACCAAGAGATCCTTACACACCCATGTTTATTGCTGCTCTGTTCACAGTAGCTAAGAAACAGAATCAATCTAGATGTCCATCAATAGATGAATGAATAAAGGAAAAGTATCATTTTGGATCTACATCCTCTGCTGGGACCTTCCAGTGACTCTTGGTTTTGATCATTTAATTTACTTTGGCAAAGAGAACACATGGGAACTTGTTGAAAGCACACTGAAACAACCTACCTCCTGCAAAAGACCTGAGTTGGCCTGCTGAAAGATGACCAACCACATGGAGTACTCAAGTCAAGACCATCTGACACATTCTGAAACAAGCGAATCGTCAGCAAACCCTCTTGAAAAGTTGAGCCAAGATGGCCAGAACTGCTTCTGCCAACCCATAACTGAGCAAAGATGCAGGAATGCGCCCTGTGAGGAGGCCCTGTGAGGAGGACCAGCTGACGTGTCCATTAGAGAGCAACAGTACCTTCTGATTTGAGCCAATAGGCTTTGTTCCTCTAGATGTTTTGTTCCCAATTAATTAACTAACTGAACGTACCAGTTATCATTTATTGACATGGAGACAAAAACAACAAAATACCCAGGACAGAGAGTAAAAGGAAGCTATTCTTTTATACTGCCCAACAGCTACCTGCCTATTCTTCACCGCCAACTTAGTTATCAACTCCTCAGGAAGCTTTCCCTGATCTCCAGACAAGTTGAGAAAACATACTCAATTATACCATTACATTTTGTTCACACCTATCACTGCTTGCCCATACTGTAATTCGATGCTTCTTCTTAAACGGATTACGATTTATTAGGTACTTATTGTTTCATACCAATCATGCCATCACCATAATGTAACACAAAACAGACCCACAATGACTTCTAAATTGAATAAACAAACTAAAAAACAGGCATTTGTTGGGCTGCATGAGGGAATGGGGGTGTATGCCAGTAATCCCAGCACAGAGTCAGCTGGATATTTTTGAGTTCAGGGCCAGCCTAGTTTTCAAAGCAAGTGTCAAGTCGGTCAAGGCTACTGAGTCTCTCTCTATATAAACAAATAAATACCAACACTTGCTTGATTCTCAAACGTCTGCTAATACTTTTGGATCAGTATTTCTCAAAGTGTGACCCTCGGAAAACGTGGATCAAAAGCAGAATCTGCAGAGGCATGTATTTAAAAACACAAAATCGCTGGGGGCTTTCATTAATAAAACTGCAGATCTTAACGTTGTAAAAAGAAGGATGAGAATAGCCTCTGGCCAGTAACAAATAAAGTCAAGTAGTAGCCGTAAGCAGTAGTTAAGTGCACTAACTCACTTTCCCTCAAAACATTATAGTGTCGTTGTGTGTGTGTGTGTGTGTGTGTATGTGTGTGTGTGTGTGTATGTGTCTTGAAACTGCTAACTGAATGTGGAAAAAATTCTCCAAAGAAATAGTTCTGCGTCAGAAGAAAAAGGAGGCTGGGGAATTTTCCAAGGAGGTGTGGCTTCTCAGCGAACACGTTTACAAGAGGTGCTTCGGGAAGGGAGGGCAACCTTCACCACCGCAGGGGCCAGAGATGCATGGGCGGAGAACCTGAGCTTGGGCTGCGGAGGCTGGGGAGGGCCCACCGTCCCGCGCGCGGCTGAGACGCGGAGGGAACGGGGTGCCCCCGGGTCCCCGCGTGGGCACCGATTTCCAGGGACGGCCGCTCTAGGTGCAGCCCCGCAGGACGCGTGGAGGAAGGCCACCACGCCTGGCTGGCCAGAGTGACAGAGGGTCGCGCCAATGGCAGCCTCACAACGCAAAGGAACCGAGTGCCGGAGGGCGCCGCCGATTCCCACCTGCATCAAGCTCCAGCTGGTAGCAGGGCAGCGGCTCTAGGGACAGCTTGTAGCCCTCGAAGCGGGGATCCAGTAAGGGTCTCTTCACCCGCAGGGAGCAATTGGCTGCCTCCATCGCGTCCCGGGAGCCCAGCGAGAGAACCAATAAAGCTCTTGTTGAAAGGTCCGCGCTTCACTCCTGGAACCCAGGGTGGGAAGCAGCGTGGTTCCCATCCCAGAGGACGCTGCGGCGCCCAATCTCTTCTGGGAAGTGTAGTGTGCACGAGCAAGCTGGCCCTGTTGCATGCTGGGAACTGTAGTTTCCCGACAGCCGAACTCGCGCCCGTTCCGCGGGCTCTGGACTCCCTTACCCAGAGGGCGGAGCGACCAGAAGGCGGCCCGCGCTAGTTGAATTCCCACATTATAGGCAGGGTGGCCAGATCCCGCCCCGGAAATGCGTGTGCTAGCTTTCTGTGTGCTTTAGGTGCCCGAGCTACTGAGGGTCTAAGTCCGGGCAGCCGAAGAGTGTGGTAGGTAACGGTCGTCAGCGCAAGGGTCATTTCGTCGCTGGGAAGGGACGGCCCTCGCCCGCGGTGATGGTGGTGAGCTATGCCCGTGGTCCTCAGGGCCGGGACCCGGGCCCGGCCCAGGCTCCTTTCGATGTGCTGTCTTCTCGTTAGCTTCCCCGACCCGCGCTCGCGGGCCTGTAGGGCTCTCCGGCAGACAGGGCGTGCGTGCTTCTGGAGTTGGCCTGGAGCCCGTCCTCGCTTTGTTTTCTGGCTCCTCCCCTCCCGCCTCTCCAGCTGTCCCCGCCGAGTTTCCTCTCCCCCCCCCCCCCCAGAATGTCAGAGCCGGGAGGGATTCCCTAGCGCCCCTGTTTTACCAGTGAGAAAACTGAGGCCTTGAGGAATTTAAGTGACTGGTCCAAGGTCACCAGCCGTGATTTTTTTTATTTTTATTTTTATTTTTTGTAGGGGCCAAGGCGAGATGAAGTTTCGCTCTCCTCGGTAGGGTACAGACTGAACTTTGCAGTTAATTTAGAAATGCTGAGCTCCAGCTACAGAAGTCAGGCATTACCTAGTGATTAACCCTCTGATCTCCTGTTCCTTGCCCAGTCCAACACTGAAAATTCTTCGCCAGTTTTCATGTGGACGAATTTTGGGCAACTACCAAGTAGTCTCAAGTTAGTGACATTCAGTAGGAAAACATTAGCTTAGCCCTGGCTTTATTTTAAACCTTTAAGTGGCAAAAATGCCCAATTTAAGACCGTCCTTTTTTTTTTTCTACACCAATGTTGGCATTGGTTGTCTGTTTTTAATGAAAATGGAGAATTTTTGCAATTAAGGACTAGTTGGAGATTTGTTTTCCCTTATCATACCCTCCAATAATAACTGTATTTGTGGGCACAGAACCCCACAGCTAGGGCGGCAGTTGTAATTCTCAGTAAATTTTAGTGAAGAGTAAAGCACGCAGTCTTATTTCATTTTTCATAATAGTGTCTTTTATTGGTATGCATACTGTATGGCTTTCCCAAAATTTGAATTCAGTTAAGGTGCAGAAAGGAACAGTAGTCAGTTATGAATGTCCAGTTAAATAAGGTGTTTGGGGCTCCTGGTGTCTGAGTTTAAATTCTCCCATCACCATTTTCTGTCACTGTGCCTCAGTGTTCTCATCTGTAAAATGAGCAAGTTTGGGAGTTAAACTTGTATTAGGTAGTAAGTGCTTGATGAGGTTATAATAGTAGTGATTCCCCAAACTCATTAATAAAGAGCATAGAAGGGAAGGGAATAGCAGAGCAAATAGGAATTGGGATACACTAAATAATACTAAGAATAACGATACCATGTAGCATACTTAATATTCTCATCTTCTCCTTGCTACAATGTTCAATGTGCTGTTAGGATGTTGTCTAGAGAGGACTTAGAAGGAAACAGTTTTCTAAATATTATGTATCTCAAAATGCATGTTGATGTCCAGGTTAGCAAGATGAACAAAGATGCGCAGATGAGAGCAGCGATTAACCAAAAGTTAATAGAAACTGGAGAAAGAGAACGGTGAGTAATAAATTGTATTAATAAATTAGGTTTTACTAATCCATAGTAGTTACGTTATATCTTTCTAGTGTCAAGGGGAAAGGAAGGAATTAGAAAAAAGGAAAGATTACCAGAGTTTCTATTCCTAACAGCTGTAATAGTTTGAGTCAGCCTTGCAAGATTCGGAAGAGTTACATACAAAGGTAAGCAGTGAGTGACGCTGCTAATGTGACAACAGGGACACAAGTAACACAGCTGGAGACCATTACCCAGGCTCTACTATAGAACTAGTTTAGTTACCTCGTGCTCCTGACTCTGAGCAGCTTGTGCTGCGACTATTTTCTGCAGTACTTTCTTCCTCCTCTTATTTAATATTCAGTTATTTATCTCCAAATTGTAACTCTTGTATCCACTACATATTCCATTAGTTTATGGTCTTCGGTGTAATCCAGGTTCCATGACAGAAATATCTTTGTATACCCACTATATAATGTTATGCTTAAAACCTAACTTAAGGAGCAAATATTTAGAGAAAGGAATGATTTGGAAGTACAAAGAAAGGACTGAGAAACAGAAAGGATCCCAGAGCGGAGTAATCAAATTTACAAAAGGAAGCTGAATATTCAGAAACAGAGGAATCTCTTCCATGTTACCAGGAGGTGATTGGGTAAATTTTGATAATAAAAGAATTTCACCTAGGGTAGAAGAAGAAGCAGTATTTCTCTAGGTCACAAAGGGAAAAGATGGTCCAGGCATGTTGAACAGGATATGCAGTCAGAGCTTTGGTACCTGAGAAGTGCTCAGGGAACTGCAGGATGTAGGGAAAGTGAGGAGTGTAGAATTTTGTGTAAGAATTCTGTCCATTGAAAACATACTGAATTTCAAAACTGTTCTAGCCAATGGAGTATTTAAGCCCGTCTAATTAAAAGATTGAAGATGGTTTTCCATCATTGAGACCAGGCACTTAGAAATTGTTGCAAGATTTATCTTTTCCTCTCTCAGCTCTCCTTTCCTCTTTGTTGTCTTTATTCTCAAACAGGCCCTACCCACAGGTGGCAGAGATTAGCAGTTCAAAATTTACATTCCACCAGCTCAGAGTACCTTTCTCAGCAAAGAGCCTCACTTGATTACCATCTTTCTTAGGTAATAGGCAAGTTATGATCAGCCTTGCCCAGGTCATATTTCAAATTACAAGAACCATGTCCAGATTTGTATAGGGAGAGCGACACAGTAGTGTTGTTTGCTTGTTTTTCTGTTACAGAGCAGAAAAAGGAGTTTGCACAGGCATAATGTTGCTGTCTTTATCCTTAGATAATGAGAATTAGTAAGAGTTTTTGGAAAGGAAATGATTAGGGTACATTTTCATCATAGGGATATTATTTTGGCAGTGTGAAGGTAGATTTGAAGGGGCTAAGATAAATGGTAGAAAAATTAGTTAGAAAGGTAACAGGTGTGAAGGTGAAAGGAAGCAAAAATTCGGAAAGGAGGACATACCTGGATACTTTTTCATAATGAAAAGGAAAAACAGACATCCATATGGAGAAAGAGGTACAGGTGCTGTGCTGGAATGTGTACAGATAGTGTTGATAGGAATGGGTTTAGAGAATTACAGTTTTCTTTTTTATTCATGCGGTGTCTGTTGTGTGCCATTATCTGTTAGGTGCCCAGGATACAGTAGTAAAGTGGACTTTCGTGCGACTAACATTTTCATGGCAAGAAACACATCATAACTGTGTAGTATGTCACACAGTAATGAGTGCCAGGGGAAGAAGAAAGCAAGGGATATGCAGGGAGGGAGATGTTGTAGACAAAAAAAAAAAAAGGAAAGCATCTCTTGTAAGCGATCAGACGAGTATGAAAGAGGGGGGGAGCTCCAATTGCCACAGTTTAAGATAAACTTGTCTACTGATCACATGCCAGCTAAGGAAGAAAGTGAGTGACAGGAAGAAATAGAGCCGGAAGCATGACTGAAGAGAAGGCAGAGCTTGTTGGTCCATAGTAGAATCTTTGAATTTTACCGTGAGGAAGTTGGGAAGGCACTGGAAGATTTTGAGGAGAATGTTATCATCAGGAAGAGGCAGGGAGGTGTGTAGGAAGTTAGGTGTAAGTCCAGACAAGAAAAGATGGTAGCTGGAACTAGGGAACTCTTGGCAGAAACATTTGAATTCTAGGTAAGCATTTTAAAACTGAAACTGCAGGATTTACTTATTCCTTGTGTGTGTAGCGACTTGAAGGATACTCCCAAGTTCTAGCTCAAGAAACCAGAGAATGAGATTGTTGTTTTGAGAAGGAGAGAAAGTGGGAGGGAACATGAAGTTGGCTTCTGGCTCTTGAAATGGAAAGACCTACTTAGGCATCCAGATAGACATACCACATAGTGTGTCTCTGGGGATATTATTGAAAGAGTGGTGCTTTGCAGGGAAAGAAAATCTGTTTAGTTTAAAGCCTGACACATTTAAACAAAAAGTTTTTCAATTAAGGGTTTTGAATTTACAAAAATGGGTGTGACAAAAAAGATAGCATAATATTTTATTGGTGTCACTAATTGGTACAACATTTTCATCATTAAGAAAAAGAAAATCCTGTTAATTAAATTTCAGCATACATGCCAATTGCTGAAGTATGGAAATGGGGAGAGACATAGGGCAGGTTAATACTATAGTCAGTGAATGGATTTGGAACCTGAGATAAGTGAGGACGAGAATTGGCTTGTGTAACATCAGAAAACTAAGTAATGACTCAGGATTAGACCCCAGTTAGTCTGGGGACAGAAAGCCACGGGTTTTTGGTTGAACAGTTTGTACTAGTACATTGCTTCAGACATTTCTGTCTAAAGTATCTTGCTTCGATTAAATGGAAAACATTTCCTCTTTAAACAGCCTCAAAGAGTTGCTGAGAGCTAAATTAATCGAGTGTGGCTGGAAGGATCAATTGAAGGCACATTGTAAAGGTAATCAGTTTCACTTAGATAAGCTGTGGCTGCTGCTCTGAACTGGGTTGGTATGGGAGTCATTACAAGAAAGTATAGTTCGTATCTTACAGTGTAAATCCTCAAGCATCATTTTAAGCAAATAAGAAATTGAGTTTTATGGTGAGAGTTTTCTTCCTAGTGATATTTTTAGACTTAATTTCTGAATTTTCCAAAAGTGAAGCATAAATACTACAGATCCTCTGGGACCAAAATACGGTTGCCTGTGTTTTTAAGTAATGTTAGTAATCCTGATGTACTTTCTCTTAATAAAATGAGCGCTTGATGGTTGATAGACCAGTTGTGTGAGAAATAGGGTCACGTGTTTTGTAACAGTGTTGTCAGGGGACTAAGCGTACTGTAGAAAATGTACAA